TGACCAGAGATAGATGCAGATATATGTCGTACGGCAAACAATTGTGAGAAATGTCATCAGTTGAAAAGTCATCCTTCGAAGTGGACGCCATGGCCAGAATCGTCTGAGGCCTGGCAGAGAATTCATGCTGACTATTGTGGTCCGTTTCTTGGTAAATACTATGCACTAGTAGTTATTGATTCTTTTTCAAAGTGGCCTGAAGTTTTTTCACAACTTTACCAAATTCTGATCTCACAATCCAAGCATTAAGAAAGATGTTTAGTCGAGAAGGGGTTCCTATGGTGTTAGTGACTGATAATGTCTCTCACTTTGCTGCAGATGCAGTCACTACCTGGTTGAACGGTATAGGGTGCAAACATCTGTTTACTGCTCTCTGACATGCGTGTTCTAATGGTCAGGCAGAGAATTTTTTCAGGACATTAAAGACTGCTATTGATTCTATAGCCGCCTCAACATTTAATGAGCTGGAGAGGGGAGTAGATACCTTTCTATTGCAATATAGAAATGTCAGACATTCGGTGACAAAGGAGACTCTAGCGAAGCTATCGAAAGGAAGAATTCTTCGGTCGAATATGAGATGTTTGGCGTCTGCAGAAGTTACATATTATCGGGGAAATGATCTTCGACCATCTACGGGTATTATTCTGAAGAATGTCGGAAAATCGATGGTGCGAATTCTAGACATCAATGACTTAAGTACACACAGTCGACATGTTGATCAAATACAATTTCAGGAACCAGGTGAGTCTGTTCCAATTTCCGTTGTTAATTGTAATGCTAATGAGCAAATTCTAGATAATACAGAATCCTTTTCGAATATAATGGCAGACAGACCCAGGATGAATTTGAGAAGAAGACGTACGATTGATTACAAACACCTGGACTCTAATTTAAGCTGTGGCGGATGTGGTGTTTGAACGAACTAATGATACTTTTGTACTTGTTGATTGCACGATTTTGAATTCCAAATACAGTACATTTGTTTGTGCTTGTGTCTTCTTAATTCAATTGCGTTATTTCTTGGACTCTTAGTTCGTGCTATAATTCAAATAATTCGAAACACTATAGCTACATTTTAAAAACAATCAATTTCAAGTGTGTAGGGCCAGCGAAATTTCATCGAATATCAAGTAAATCATCGACCCTCGTCAAGGTCAGGGACAACCAACGCGCATCAGTTATTCGTATACCATGGACTGGCCCATGCGGCAGTGGTCTTACTTTCGATTGTATCTACTTTAACTTATATATTTCCATAATAACGTCCTCTGTGTTTTACAGTCTTCAAAGCATCTATGGTACCTTGATACGTCGGTGGGGTAGTCCACGTAAGGTGCTGACCATGAGGTGTGACTTCGACATTAGCTAGTTTGTCACAACGTTCACGTCTAACTCGAGTAGGCCGCCAATCATTTCGACTGGTGAACTACAAGTGTAATGGGTATCTGCAATTTTCGCTAATATAATAGTCAGTTCTTGGCTTCTCTCGATTGATTTCCGTTTCACTGACAGATAGGTAGCTGTAATTTCTGTCTCAGCTTTCAGACGTCGATAACCTATAAATAAGCTACTTCTACTCTTATAGTTAATCCGCACAAAGTGCTTGATGGTTGTTTAATGAGGAGATTATACACTTCTTGTTTAAGAATACTGCCTTTACATGATATCAAAGGATTTACACATAAAAACGTTTGTTGAAATAAGGTTAGGCATTTTCTGATAACTACTGATTTGAGATTGTGTATTTCCCTAGCGAGTAAGACTGAGATGTGAACTCATTTCATGATATTCTCGAGCTTATCAATTTACCCAAAACTGGTTATAACATTTGTTTCATTTAATCTGCAAAGGCAGTAAGTAGATAGAGAGTATCATATAGTAAATAAATAGATTGCCTCTTTACCATTGATAAAGAAGTTAGCAATATTTGGGTAGACACTGTGTGCGAATATAAACAGACTGATAACAGAGTAATTTCGAATAACTAGTTTATCAGTGATCCACTGACTTTCATCCTAAGGGGTCGAGAAGTCTTGTTTATATTAAGTAAATTTTTCTGAGCTAGTTGTTAAAATTATAACCTCTTTCTGGCTGTACTGGGGTCATTTTAGTAGAATGCCCGGACTCACGACAGCATTTCTTTAAAAATTTTTGGAAAATCAAGATACTTAAAATAACTTGATATAAATACTGTTGCGACTTTAAGTCCGGCTAGACATCACGCAGTTTGTTCGTCAATCGAAATACGATTTATTCACACTTTTACTGTGCTAAACTAATGACGTTTGTTCGGTCTGGTCAGTCTAGCGTTCGATTGATCCTCTGTTCGCCCAGCCCGTCCAAACTGAATCCAGAACACCAATAACAGCCTCTACTATACGAATCATTTATTTCAAACATACTTGGCTTATATACCAGCCAAACAGATCGTATCACACGACAAAATAAGAAATAACATTTATACAAGATCAGGCCAAAAAGCGTCTGTGAACATGGGAGACAGTAATCAATAAACTAGACATAACTTAAGAACAGTAAATTGTATAATAATAATCTAAGTCAAAATAAAGCTTATAATAAGGGGAATATAGATGTACATAACCTACTTACTGAATTACTACTTCTCAGAAGTTACTCGTAATTTAATATTTGCTAGGATATAACAAATAATTTACGTACTGTATATCTTATTTTTAAATCCCTGATGAATTGTCATCCAGTTAAGCAACTATTCGAACCAACCACTGCACTGTCAAAAGAAGCCTTCTGTATACATTTTAGAGAGACTTGGCCAATAAAGATACTTTTGTTGTTGTGTGTGCTGCTGATGTCGACAGACATAAGTAAAATATTATCATCACTTGAAAGTGAAATGTCTGGTGGCAGAAGATTAGGAAGATCGAGAAGAAGAGAACGAGAACAGAGAACGATTGGTGTGGAAACGAAAGAACAATGAATTACGAGATGACTGATTGAAATTTTTCAAATGAAGTATTTACTATCTATGCCTCAAATTTTTCTAAGAGATTCTGTGAATTCATGTTCAAATCCACTTAGTTGTGCTTGCCTGTGTTCTTATTCACTACCATGTGAAGCGCCAAACAACCAAATCTTCTTATATTACATTAAGAAGACCTATAGATAAGACAGGAGAGGTCCGAATTAAATGTTTAAAGTTGGATTTGAAGATCATTATCTTGAGTGAAAAATTGTTCTCTCTCGATATCATAGGTATTAGAGCGAGGATGTCAGGTGTTATTCTTTGTAGACGTAACGAAGAACAAAACCAAGGGGTGGGAGGAAGTTTACTTACATCAGGGTCACGGATTTCAATAATTACGGTCCGTCTGAGCTACAGGACTTCATGTGGCACCACTTCGTCTCAAAATACACCAAATATACAACCAAAGAAATGCACGGTTTTCCTGCAAGTGACAACGCACAACGGACAGATAACCCATGTGTCATAAGACAGGAGAAGGACAGAGAGCCATGAAAACTAAATTATATAACATCGCCTGATCCATGATTCCGATAAAGTCGAGAAAACTTTCGTCCATGAGATCGTTCTTAGATACGTTTCAAGGCATCAGGAACTACTAGACCTATCAATCGACGAGTATTCGACTGTTGAAGAGATAGTTACTCACGGGGTTGTTTAGAAAAACAGCACATAGGCTTCGGTATTATCTAGGCAAGTAAATGCTCTAGGTAAATTGAGGAACAGGACTATTGCTTCAGGGAAAGACGAGTGCCTGGAATAAATAGTGAACCTCACCAAGAGATATCGACATTAACTTGAACATTACATTAGGAAAAAAGCATAATAAAGGGGTACGGAAGGGTGGAAGATATGTTCAGACAAACCTTACTGGAAATTTTAAATCGGATTAACTGCTTGTGTCATTTTACGTCACAAAAAGCACAAACCAGGTAACCTTGATCACCGCCGAACATCAAGGCTTGACGTTCATTAATTTCAAAGCCACCAAAGTCCTCAAGGTGCATCTTTGTAAACACTTACGCCAGGCATTGATCAGAAACATTTTAACAGATTTTTTACCTGCGAAAACAACAAGAGTCAGAGATTAAAGTTTCGAGCTGGAGAGCAGCAGTGTTTAAGGCATCACAAGAAGCTGTTCTAAGTACCATACTGCCTCTCATATGTCTTATCAATCTCCCAGAGAATATCATATCAAAGAGATAACCACTTAACAGCCAACGCTATAAAGTGTGAAACATTGCCGTTTCAGGCTATGGGGAATCAACAAACAGACTATCACATATGCAGTCATCGCCGTTATAGAACGTTGTTAGGCCGCGATTTCAGTCCTCTGAAGACAGAAAGCCTAGATACCAGTAACAGCTATGAGAAAAACAAAACAAGCCTATTGCTTCTTAATATTGAGTGGGAGGCCTCCTTGACACCTTCTTGGTCAGCGTAGCTAAAGCTCTTCCAATTCATATTATTAAGAGGTGACTCGATGATCACGGATGTACTGATGGTTTACAATCCTCCTTACACATTGTCTAACTATACGCATTCACAGGGTACTCATTCGTCCACTTACGCTACATTTCTCCATCTTCCCATGATTATTTCTTATTATTATTCGGAAATCCATTTACCACCTCATATAGTATTATCTCCGTTTGACTCAATTATTCTTCTTTGCTGATTTGATCAATTAGTAAATTCAATTACCTGTTTATTTATTCGGATTTCTATCTCTAATATGTTATTTTTTCCTCTTACTATACAATATTAACTAATACAACAGTCCGTGAAGTGTGATACCTAATATTCTTAGCAACACCACTGCTCTAGAATGAACGCATTCATTTATTCTCTGTATATAGTAATCTGAAAACTATCGTATTCACTTGTCTTAGTACAGAAAAGTAACCATAACACCAACATTGGACCTGTACCTTGACTCCTAGGATAGAATGCAAAGAAGTCTATTCGACTGCAGTAGTTCAAACAAGTCATTGAATACTGGATATTGAAAGCGAAACTCTCCATTTTCAACTTGTAGGTCGTTGTGGGTGTTCTTTCTTGTCGGTTGCCTCTTGTGATAATCGATCCTAGGGGCCGTAATATTTTATCACTCGTCCAAACAACGTTTATTGGAAACAGGAACTCACAAAAAATCGAAGGCATCAAGAAAATGTTGACGTGAGTAGATTGTTGTGTCAATTCGATGCTAAATCGAATTTTACTTGTCTTCATTCATTCCTTAATTCACTTTAATTTCATTATTGATGATCGCGAAACCTCATTTTGTTAACCTTAAGTACATAAGTAGGGACATAGTTGTTGAGATCTGAAAATAATTCGGTACTCGATTTTTCAGTATATAGCTATAAATTGAACCATAGAATATCCGACACAAAAGTTTTGGTAGTGAGAATAAGTGCTGGTATGATCATCGTTCTCCATTCCATTGGTAGTCTTGTTTGCATTCGATGCCATGTTTTTTTGAAGGGTTTAATAAATATCACTTTACACCTATAAAAGTAAACTTATTGGCCTATGCTCGTTCAATGACCGAATGGAGTGATAATAGTATCCACTCAATAGTTATTTCATCTACTATCCACTGAGCAAGGACCTGAGGAGGATTACCACTTAATTAAGACACTGATCAAGAGCATAGTGTTCTAAAATCTTTTAGTGACAATAAAGTTAGCTTCAGAGTAAGTTTTCCTAACTTCAAATGCAAGTTGTTGCTGTAAGGTTCGCTCGCCTTGGTAAGGGTAAATTATAGAGTGAATTATTCGTTCCCATTATCTTTTCATTTGTTATGAAGGTGTCAATTTTTAATCAGGTAGGTGATTGCAAAAATCCCGACCATATAAGTTTACTGGCCATTGATTCCTTCTGTCTCTAGTTGCAGTTGTGAAACGCATTGCGGAAGGTTAGAAACGTAGATAGGTTGCTGGGGCTTGTTCTTAGATTCCCTTGTTGCGTTATTTGCTTATGGTGGAACTAATCGGTCAGTGGTGGTAAGTTTGAATTAGGGTACTAGGTAAAGATGGTAAGTTGATTGATGGGGCCGGAGTTTCTTCTTGAATGTGGTGGTAAGGCATGTGCGGTAACTTGGGCAATGGATTTTTATGTAATATCCTTAGTTTGTGCTCGACTAATTAGTAATATGCCTACCTAATCAAACTGGTAATGTAATCATCTTTTTGTGTACTTTCTTCACGTTTATACCGAAAGGTCTATTGCTTATTTTCTGTACGAACAATTGAATATCGGTAAAACCTAAGCGAATCATAAAATTTAGTGTTTGCAAGTTCAAATTTTGAGCAAATTATCACTTCACTTTCTTAACATTCTGTAATTTGAGTTTCTCCTCAGTACTATTTAGTTCGTAATCATTTTCAAGCTTGACTTAGTTTTGCTATAATCTGGGGGATTCTGTTTGACCATTTAGTCAATCTGTCTAGGATAACGAGTGTTTTAAACGGAAAATTAGATTAGTATACATTACAGCATTACCAAACAGTTGAGAATGTCGGTCGTAAGACAGGTAGTGTCTGGCACATACTGAAGTTGCCATAGCACACCGACACTGCAAAATTTATTGAGACGAATATCAGAGTAGTAGTAATTTTAGTGGTATCAGTGATGATAAAAAGCTTGGGCAGAGATAATTCTAGAAGAATAAAGGTGAAAAAATGATGTATAAAATAATTTAGAAACTAAGTCTGTGCGTAGACAAGTAGTAAATCCATCTTCTCCATTGCCTAACTTTGATCAGTTGTGTTCGCGTGCATGCTATAGACGTGGTTGCAATGTGATTCAGTGATCCGCGAAATATCAAGATATTCAGAACTTTCAACTCAGTGGCTGTAATGGAGTACTCAGAGTGCTGAGTTGCAAATCAAAATAGTAATCAGACTTTTTATTATGGAGTTCACTTAATCAAGTGTAGTCACTCTATTATTTATTTATTTGAACACATAAATATTGGTACAAGAGGGCACCAAATATATATGCGCCACACGTAGTCACTCTAAGTGTAAACCCTTTTGAATTTAGTAGTTGATATCCATGGTACACATTAAAATTCGTTTCACCTAATACTTCATGTGGGTTTATGTTTGTGTGTATTACTTTCCCATTTTTACCTTATTCAGATCAGCTTTGGCCTGTCAGTCATTGCCACACTACTCTGATTTTGATACAACTTCAGAGAGTGGTCTTTCTGATTTATCATACGTTCTTCCTTATCGTCCGAAGAAATCTTTAACCAGGAATAAACCGATGAAAGCTAGTCCTGGTGAAATAAGGCTTGGAGCAAGGGCGATGAGAAGATACGAAAATGGTATGAAGACATTTTTTGATCGATACGGGATTCAGTGTGTTAAATACTTACCCTATATTGGTCTAGAGGATTATTCAATTAACTATTGATTTTTGTTATGAAGCAAGCACAATTTTGCAACGTTTAAGAATGATATAAAGAAACAAATTGTTTCATCCAAGCCTTTAAACCATTTGCTATACCCCTTTATACCATGAACTCAAGCTTGGAATTGTTATTTCTCGCTAGGAACTCATCATTACTTAACTAGGAAGTTGGATCCAGTGGTAAAGATTTATTAACCCTGTACTATATTTTCTAAAACGTTGGGTATGGAATTTAAGAATGGGAAGTGAATCCATATCTTGGCACTGATTCATACTGCTGTAATAAGTTTAACAGTTTTTTATTACTAAATCATTTCAAACTGGTATTCCATAATTATATATGTATATAAACTGTGGTTTAGTTTTTACATTTGCTTCGTAACAGCCTTAAAAATAGGATTTTACAAGCTTTTCTTTATCTAAACTCTGGAAAATCTAGTCTTAATCGTTGGCAAGGGTTGTATTCTCACAATTCTAAAGAGTTCAAAGTTAGAATGAAACAGCTGTTCAGTTCCTCTTGATTTTCAGTGACTCTATATGATATGAAGCAGTGGCTCAGTGATTAGGCCGTTCAACTTTCGGCCATTAGGTCCTATATTCGAACCTCGTTCTATCTATTCCATTTTGGATAGATGGCTAGTACCATAATAACCTTCATACTAATAGTATGGTTCTAAAACAATTGCACAAATGTGTACCTGGTTAGTAAGTTATTTAGAAAGTATGCCAGTCTGTAGTGGATACTGACGTTTCAAGTCACTTAGTTATTTGAAATCTTCAAATCTAACAAAAGTCAGCTACACTCACTAAATATTTTTTATAATAGTAATTCCGTTCAGACTTCTAGTGAGTTATTGCTTGTAAGGCAGGCTGACTCAGGTTACGTACGCTTTAGTCATTACATACATACATCAAGTTACTTGAACTTTTAAGAATTTGAAATCAGTATCTCTAGGTCAAAGAAACACGTTTAAAAATAAGATGAATCGTTTAAATTGACAAAATTCGATCATAGAAATTACACAATAAACTAAATTGTATGTGTGTTGTTAATCAACCGATATATTTTGTTCTCTTTTTTCTTTAGAAGTTTATTTAAATACATTAGCTGTGATTACTGAAACCGATGGGGACAATATTGATGATTGTTGGCCTGAAAGTTTTAATTATTGTTCAACGTTTACTAAATTACTAGAAGATGAGAAGTAGGTTTTAAACTCAAACTATCAATATTACTAATAGTTATGTTGGTGATACACTCAAATTATTACTAGTTTTCTTTTCAAAACGGGAGAGTTCAATCCATTTCAAATTGAGCTAAAACTCATGTCCGTTAAACAAGCCAGTGGCTAGCTGGATACATTAACTAAGTGAATAACTCGATGAGGTTTGAAGCAAACGGTACTTGATTTGAGTCCAGTAGTGAACACCAACTCAGGGATGCAGGTGGGTTCATCTGAAGGATTCCATATGGGATGAAATGCACGTCCTGGGCTCCATTGTTAGCCACATTCCATCTATTCTGTATTAACTTGTCATAATTAGCTATATAGAGGTAATCCTCTTAGAATGCACATATGCAACTGAGACTGAACAACGGGATAAACTGAACCACTTAAAATTAAATGAAGGTTATTTTATTTCCAAATTGAACATTAGTGCAGATGGCGCGTTACAGATACTTGAAAAGTCTAGTATATAATAATTGAATAGTTCACTTAACTGAAAACACTACTAATATGTAGAGTTTTATCAACTCTAACAGTTAAGTATCTTGTATGTAATTGGTATACATAACAAAATGTATAAAATGATACTTTTGAAGTGGTTAGTCCCGATAATTATTTTGATCATATGATAAATATATCAGAGGGTTATTTTCAGCTTGGCCCATATAATTGATTAAATTGATTGTTGTACATTGGCCACTGGAAATTTCCATGTGGACCATGGGTTAAGTGAGTTATTGGTGCATATCTAAGTGATTTTATTGTGGATTTTATTTTATGTATCTAAAGTTATCTGTCTGTAACTGTCTATTATAAATATATCAGTGTAGTGCGACTCAACTTGCCGGATAAAAAACATATATGGTGAAATTATGATTTGAATTTTTCTCTTTAATATCTAGCACTCATTCACTAAATGAACAGAAAATTGGTCAAAAACGCTAGATAGAACCCATATATTGAGCATTACGAATAAACTTAGCCAATACTGTACTGAGTTTTATTGTTTAACAATTTTCTATGATTAAACTGTACATTTTGAATAATTCCTGTTCATTATTCTGTTCACGTGAAATCAGTCACATGCAAAAATATGTAAGAATTATGGTCTTGTACTGAATCGGGAAATAAGTAGTACACTATTCATTATTAGGATCAATAATTTTAATCAATTCTCGTCTACTTCACAATTTAGTTTACATATTAGAAACTACTTTTCACTACAGATTAAGTCATTGCGGATACTCTTTGGTTGTTATGTTTCTCCCATTTTTAAACCGAGTTCATAAATTAATTGAAGGAATATGACTTGGGCACCCGAGCAGTATCACAGCCCACACACAAATCGAATGACTTGTGTGGTGCATATGTATTTGGCGCCCCTTTGTACCAATATGTGTTCAAATAAATAAATAAAATAAAGAATTAGCGATTTAATGTTTTAAAAAATAAAGTCATATTCAACTGTAGATCAGGTTTGACCTTAGATATTCCCTCCCTTTGTGGGATAGTTAGCTGAATGTTATCAATTTCGGGAAGGCTTTAGTTTTAACACAGAAGCATCTTTAAATCCTCATTTTTATGACGTTATAATAGTCATAAATTGTTTCCTGGTATTTCTGTTCATCACTTGACTTAAACTTGGCAATTGGTACTATAATCACTAATTGTATTGGTTGCATTTCATAAAAGCATTCTCTTATACACCATATTATCGCCACGTAACTCTACTAATCAATTCAAGGACACAGTAGCCACTAATATAAACTTGCTCTCTTCTCAAAATTATTCTATAACCTGAATTTTTTGGAGGAAAGTGTATTCGATACTCCAGCCGATGATAATTACAATAGCAAACTTATGGGTGGTATTCATAGAGAGCTTATTGTGATATTTTTGTTTTTTTTGAGCTACAGGTATTAATTTCAAGGAGCTTAATTCTTCCACCCTTTTGCAGTTGGTTTTTGGAATTTTACAATGATGATTAGAATTTTTATCCCTTGTTTAATTAATTCTTGTGGACTATTTGAGAAATATAACATTTTCTTTATAGAATTTTCTTAATTGCGGTACTATTGTAACACCTGGGAGTACTGAACACAGCTGTTTGGCCGTAGTACAAAAATCCTCAACAACTCGCATCCACGACCTCGCCAGAGATCAGGCTGAGGACCTGAAGTCCTCTTGGTGAACGCCTAACCATTTGGATCACTGGGTTGTGACCCTGTGATATAATTTTCGTTTCATCATAACGATTATCTAGTGCCATCGGTAAAAACTGTTTCACTCTAGACGTGCCTAAACTCCACCACTTTTAACCTCATCAAAAATTAAGAAACATCTTAAAGTAAGCCAATATGGAGCTGACTATTGTTATTATTATTATTTACATGAAGGGGCTTTGTGATTAATACAACCTACCAATGGAGCCAATCTCGACCATATCTCCTCAACTAAAATATAACATTTTTCAACACATTTTAATCATCAAACAATCAAATGATTCCTGTCTATTATTTTGAAATGGATACATAGAATGTTGCGTTAAATTTACGAGCAATTTAATTCCTTGTGTTTTTTTAAAAATCCCTCCCCGTAGTATTCGAGCTGCTTGGGATGCATTTATTCAATTATCTGAAAAAGAACAAGAGAAACTTCTCGGTACACTTCGTGTAAAAAACAAAATTAATGATAATGAGATGGCAGGTAGTGATGATTATGATAATGAAGATGATATATCATCATATTCTTCTGCTATTCACCATACCCCATCTTCTTTATCTCATCCAAAACGTCACATGAAGCATCGATGTAGACGATCTAAACGCGAAGAGAGGAAGAAACGATTTGATGATGTGAATTCACTGCTACAATCTAATCTTAATATGTGTAAGTCTAATTCATCAGCGTTTTAAAAAGTAGTTCCCACTTGTGTTTAATGTTTTATTCATTTTTTTGTGTGTGGAATCAAAACCAAGTTGAATTCTCGATAATTGGGTTTCATGACAATTGTAGTGTTTCGTATCACTTCGTGAGTCAATGTTTTTTTATGTATTGGCCAATTTTATGCTTGATGTCAGCTTTTCCTATGCGAATAGTTCACCAATGATGTCTACAAATATGGCTAAGTGTGATTAGAAAACTTCGCCTTCAACCATTTGGTTGAATTTTTAATCCCTCACACTCAAGCTTTGTCGGTTTGATCAGCTAGGTAGTATCACTTTCGCGTAACCTGCGAAGGGCGGTCACTTGAACCAGCAAAAACTGAGACTCAAAGAAGAAGGCAAAACCGGTGGGAGATACAGATTTTATTTACCCTCGGGAAACACGTCTTTAGTCAAAATCGTTCATATTCTCAGCTTAAAATACCACTATTTATCGGGAAATCGTCAGCTTCTCTGAACACCAACTTCAGTTATCAGTGTAGGGTATTGAATAAATTAGGGCTTGTCTCAAGGCCGCCAGCCTATTGAGTTCACTGCATCATTGAAAGAGCGGTCACATAGATTTGGAGATAAAATTAGATTACAGTACTTATTTAACTCAGTTGGACTTAATTTCCTAAGCACCAACCAAAACTTCCATGCGCTAGGCGTGTAGAGCTCATAACTGAGTACATAAATTTATACTTGGTAAATCAAACTACAGATGAATTTCTAAATAACCCAAGTGTTTATCTACAAAGAAGTATGCATTTTCAAGGTGTTTTAGATCTGTAAAAGTTTCATTTGATAATCTAAATCCAAGATTAAGCTATGCTCATTATTATCGTGTGACATAAACTGCTAATGAATTTCTACATAGAAATGTCATAATTTTACGTATAGCTTTATAGTTTTATGCAGATAGCTCATTAATTAAGGGGGTCAAGACATGTGCCACGTATGCCTAACCCCCGCCTACCTCGACCAGGAATGTTGGTGTTTTTGAATCAATAATGTGCATTTAAAATGAGAATCATCAAATACATCATTGTGTTACTAGAATGACCTACATTAATTTCAGTCAAAATAACGATGCATGTGAAATAAACAGATTGGATAGAGAATGTGTCGAACGCGTTGACAACTTCACTTATCTTGGAAGTATGACCAGCCCTAATGGGTTGGTATCGGACGAAATCTCAGCACGGATTCGAAAAGCTCGTTTGGCATTTGCCAACTTATGTCATCCATGGCGAAGGCGAGATATCCGTCTATCAATAAAAGGACGAGTATACTGCGCGGCAGTCCGTTCTGTTTTAACTTACGGCAGCGAAACATGGCCTTTAAGAGTAGAAGACACCCGTAAGATACTAGTATTTGATCAGAGATGCCTTAGAAATATTGCTGGCGTCTGTTGGGATCACCGGGTAAGTAATAGTGAGGTTAAACGCAGGGTATTAGGGAATGAGCGTAAATCAGTCGATGAGGTTGTGGATCTTCATCGACTGAGATGGTTGGGCCACGTGTTACGTATGCCTGAACACCGATTACCACGACGTGTAATGCTAACCGGTGTTGGAGATGGTTGGAAGAAAGTTAGGGGCGGCCAAACCAAAACGTGGCATCAGTGCTTGTCACACAGAGTCTCCAACCATTGGTTACGATAGTCACGCGCACCTCAACCAAGTAGTCTGCATCTACCAACATGGCTACAACTGACTGACTGCTAAGACTAGAAGTTAGTGACGTCAAGCACTGATGCCACGTTTTGGTTTGGCTGCTCCTAACTTTCTTCCAACCATCCCCAACACTAGTCAGTGGTAATTAGTGCTCAGGCATATGTAACATGTGGCCCAACCATCTCAGTCGAGGAAGATTTACAACCTCATCAATCCCTAATGTCTTTTGTCTAACCTCATTATTGCTTACCCTGTGATCTCAGAAGATGCCAGCAATATTTCCAAGGCATCTGTGATCAAATACTAGTAGCTTACGAGTATCTTCTACTCTTAATGGCCACGTTCCGCAACCGTCAAGTAGAATAGAACGAACTGCTGCACAGCATACTTGTCCCATATCTGATAGACGGATATCTCGCCTTCGCCATAGGTGACGTAAGTTGGGAAAACCCAAACAAGCTTTTTGCATCCGTGTTGAGATTTCGTTAGACACCAACTCATTAGTGCTAATCAAACTTCCAAGATAAGTGGAGTTGTCAATGCGTTAGATTACTTCACTCCTTATCATTAGTTCAGGTGTTGACGCAGACCAGTCCTGAAGCAACAACTTGCATTTAGAGGGAGAAAAGCTCATTCCAAACATTCTGGTATAGTTGCTTAGTGCCACCAGAAGACTCTTCATTTTGTCAGTGTCTTCACTAAACAGGACTATATCATCTGCGTATTCTAAGTCGATAAGTGGATCTCCTGGAAGGAGATCAATACCCGAGAATTCAGTCGACGAGGATATTATTTCCATCAATAGGTCTATGATGAAGTTAAACAAAAATGGAGAAAGTGGACAGCCTTGACGGACACCACTTGGTGTTACAAAAGCAGATGACAGTTCGCCATAAGCTCTAACTCGATTGGTAGTGTTCGAGTAAAGAGCCTTTACAAGGTTTATGTACTTCTGAGGTACGCCTTTCAATGACAGACACTGCCACAGAATCTCGCGGTCTACTGAGTCAAATGCTGCTTTTAAGTCAAGAAAGACCACCATTGTCGGACGCCGGTAAGTATGCCTGTGTTCTAGAACCTGACGAATGGTGAATATGTGTTCGATGCAGCCACGACCAGGTCTGAAGCCAGCTAGATTCTCTCGTGTTTGCAGTTCACGAGTCTTAGCTAAGCGTCTGATAATTATCGAGGTTAGCATTTTAGATACTATATTAGTTAAACTAATCCCTCTATGGTTGTCACAGGATGATTTTAACCCTCTCTTATATATTGGGACGATAAGTGATTGTGACCAGTCAGATGGAATAACGTCTACCTCCCAGATCTTGGTTAAAATTTTAGTCAACTTAATCGCTAAAATTGGACCACCATCCTTAAAGACTTCTGGAGCCAGTCCATCTGGACCAGCTGCCCTTCCTCGTTTCAGATTAACTATAGCCTTTTGAACTTCTGCTAGAGTTGGGGGACGTACTTCAATGTTCCATTCACACTGTCTGGGAATGGAGGGTAGTTGTAGAGTAGCTGAAGGCCAGCTGAACTGTTCTCTGAAATGTTCCGCCCATCGTTCTAAACGTCTGGACTGAGAGCAGATGAAGGTGTCGTCTTTTTCCGAAATAGTCTGACTTACACTTGACTTATTAATTCCAGTTTCTTTTATTAGTCTGTAGAGCTGTCTTGTGTTCCCTATAGCCGCCGCCTTTTCCATCTCTTTTGCTTTCGTTGCCCACCACTGCTCACGGTCGTTCCTTAGACTTTTGTTTAACCTAGATCTGATTTGTTGTCGCTCTTCATCGTGTTCAGAGCCTGATGGGATGAGTTTACGAGAATCCATCAGTGCAATAGACCTAGAGGAAATCCATTGGTTCTTTGTAACCCTGTGGTTTAAATCACTGATAGATGTCACTGTTTCCACAGCTGTTTGTATGGCTTTCCAAGCAACATCTGTGTCAACCTCGTTTTCAGAACTACCTAATTGTGACCTCAGTTGTTCCTGGAACCTACTTTTGGTTTTCTTGCTACTCAATTCAGTTCTAATGGGTCTTTTTACTGAGGCTTTTTTGCGTCCAGTGAGGCGCAAGCAGATGTGTGCCCGTATTAGGGCGTGGTTGGAGTCCAAGCAGGTATTTCAGAATGAGCGACAATCTTCTACCAACCCTCTCCAACGAAGACTGATGGTAATATAGTCTGTTTGAGTCCATCGTTGGTTTGGTGTAGGGAGTCGCCATGTTAGACGATGTCTCTCCTTATGCTTAAAATTTGTGTTTGCTGAAAATAAGCGATTGTCTGAGCATAGTTGCAGCAGACGATCACCATTATCTGTTCGCTGAGCCGGAATACTAAAATACCCACCCAAATGCCTTTCTGTTTGATTTAAACTACCTATTTGGGCATTAAAGTCGCCTGCTACGAGTACTATGTTCGAACGTTTAGCTTTCTGAAGAAGTTCAGATAGCTTTCTGTAAAATTCATCTGAGCTACAGTCGGTAGGAGCGTAAGCAGAAACGACAAAAAGGCAACGACGTGCCGTTTAGCCGAACAGCACATAAACGGCTGTTAACGGGGATCCACTCTAACAGTGCTTGTTCCGCCCTCATGCTTAGTGCTATGCCTACTCCTTCCAGTCCACGAGAGCTAGCCATCGGGTCACCAGATGCACGGAGGGTGTATTTCGTTGACTCTCCGTTTTGCCGAGGTGAGGTCGAGTGAATGACCACACTGGGATCCTGTATACGTGTTTCAGAGACACAGCATACATCAATGGTACGAGATTCTAGGGTTTTAGCCAAGGAAGCCTGTTGACCGATTTGACATAGAGTGCGTACGTTGAAGGCTCCAATGTGTAGTTTGGAGCGAGGTTTCAGTAGACCTGGGACAGTGTTTTGAGCACTAGAATCGTTGGCTATGGTGACATTTGAGGAGGAAGCCGTAAAAGGAAGTTTAGAGGTGAAAGTCGATGTAGGAGGAATAATAGAAAGTGAAGACGGAGGTTGATTATGAATACAGTGGTCTTGAGTGCTGTTAGAGGTATGAGGGCGGTTATCACTTCCCGGTTTCCCACACCGTGGAAGGGTTGTTCTGGAGGTACCTGGAAAGGAAATTGGATAAGAGGTGGTCTTAGTGACCTGGGAGCGTGATCTCAGTGCCCAAGAAACAACTGCTTGAGGTTGGTCACACACATTTTTATGGGTAATTTTTGTGTTAGCTCCATACTTTTTGGGACGTTACCGTCGGAGACGGATATCCGTGGGATAAGGCGGGGTGTGCATTTTTAGGGTCGACCTTTTCT